CTTCCCTAGCATTTCTGCTGATATCAAAGTAAATGGAAATGTGGTAAAGCCTTGGAGATGTAACACCTTGTTCAGCATGATGATGGAGAACTATGGCCACAAAACAGGAATGATGATAGCAGGAAAGAGTATCTGTTGTCACAGCTAATGTATTCACTACAGCATATCAACTTATCTAAAAGAAGCAGCTGATAGCTGAGTAAAATTCATTGTATCATTTTCACTAGCAATTTGTCCACATGAAAACAGGACAATTTTTTTAGTCACATAAGAATTTCCCTGACAACCATCGAAATATGCACCGAATTCACAACATATTAGTTGAGATTGTGGGTAATTTTCAACTAGGTTTATAGAAAAAAAAACTTTTTCTTAGTTCTTGCCCTCTACTTCATTATTTTAATTCATGTTTTCTCTATAGATTAAAAACAACTTCACATATATAAAAGTTCATTTCAATCCTGATTCTTAATTTTGGTTTTATTTCTGAACCATTTGTTTTTTGTTGGTGGGCTGCCTTCTGGCTAAGTTGCTATTTAATCATTACAAATAACACAAAATTCCTAGTAGTGTAAACTCTGGGCATTCTGACAGGTTTTGAATGAGTTGCTTATACTCATACAGAACTTCCAAAACACATTAGCCACCTTAAACTGAGAGCCTGTTTTTATGTGGACAATGCCAAGGTGTAGTTATAATTCTGTGGCTGAACCTAGTCACTAACTGAACATTTCCAATCATATTAAAAGTTTCTTGAACTTCTAAGTGGGCTAAATGAAATCTATGTTTTTAGTCTGGTTCATATTAATAAAATGATAATATTACTGTTAAAATGCCCTAATGATAATTTCTAGAAGTGTGTGTGTGTGTGTGTCCTTTATATTTCTGAAATATGCTGTCTCTCCATACAGTCAGTCTGAGGTAAGTTGGGTTATGAGAGAACCATGTCCTTATCTGAGAAGACTTCAGTTATTGAGCATCATAGAGCATCCTACCTCCAGAAGATAGCAGACTACAAGCTTGAAGGTAGGTCAGTCAAATACTGTGCTATAATTTGGTGAAATAATAAGCAGGTGTTTACTTGGTCCTTTGAACATATACTGGATGAGTTTTAGAGGCTGGTCACTATGCATTTGGAAAGTCTTTGGAACTGATCAAATTCTAGAGTGCTTAAAACTTTAAAGACAGCACAAGGTCTATATCTTTAGATCTTTTATTGAACTGCAAGCACAGCATCAATAACTGGTTCTCAGCTGTAAATGAAAATTGATTCCAGGTTTAACTCCTCATTTTCAGGGGTTCCTTTAATCCAAAGAAATGTAAGAAGAACATTTTGACAAAAAGGGAAACGGAAGATTCAGTCCAATAAGGCAGAGCTATGCAGACAACATGATATATTTCCACTCCCAAGGAGCTCATCCTCTTACATCTAGCTACTCCCTGACTGAACCCCAGTGACCTGATCAGAGCACTACTGCCTGCTCTGGATAACTGACTTAAATCATTCCATTGTTATTCACCTGGTTTTCTCTTTCTTTTGAAAATTATATTACAACTGAAATGTTCACATAAAAACTAAATACAAGGCACTATTTCTTATACCAACGCTGGTCTGGAACTTTATGATGTCTGATACAAATGTAAAGTGGTATTTATGTCTTATTTAGGGTTAGTTACCACAAGGGAAACAATGGGAATACAACATTACAGGAGAGCCTTTAATCATTTTCTGGGGCAGAGCTCATAAAAAGAAGAGACAGACTGAATTCAAAGTGTATGATTCAACTGTCCATCTACATCTGTCCTTCTAAGAAAAAACTTCCAGAGACATGTAATTTTCTGTAGGACTTGATACAGTGTCATTGGTAACCTAGCCTTTATTCCTAGAGATGCTGGCTTAAAAGTTGCCAGGACGCAGGGCAGTTAAAGTCATCCACAGCTGACAGATCCTTTTACATATCAGTTGGAACATTCAATCTAGTTCTTAGTAAATCCTATGGACACTTAAATAAAGACGAAGAGTAATGTATATTCCCTGGTATATCTAAGAGAGGATTTCAGTTACCACTAAATGGGCTTCAAGGATGGATAGTCACATATTTGTGATGCTAAGTTTTCCACATACTTTCACACAGCTAATTTTTTCTTCACAGCACTCCTATGATTTACACAAGATAGTTTTATCCTAATTTACTTGTGAGAAATCTGAGACTTCAGGATGCTTGGCAATTTCCCCAAATGTAATATAATTAGTATGTATGAAGTAGGACTTATTACCAGGTTTCTCCAGTCTAGAAACAACAGTCTTAATGATTATACTTTTAATTCCTCATAGCCAGGCACACACGGCTAATAATCATTAAGACAAGACAGATTCTTTTCATTCGCCTTTGCCACATGCTGACTATTTTTCTGTACCTAATTCACTACTTCTTTTTAACTTCCCATTCTTAAAAGGGAAAAATGAAAGTGAATAGACCTCCCATTTCAAAGGAATACTAGACTTCTTATATGTGATGACACATAGCCATTAACAGCGATGAATATCATATGAAGTGATGAATAGCTGCTCTGCCCTAAGCTTTACTGTGTCAAGTCCTTTGATATGTATTGGTCCACTTCTTCACTGAACCTACTATGACTCAATGAGTAGGTACTACTGTTATCTTTACAGAAACTCGATCTTTTGCTAAAATTTATTCAGTTTGAAATTCGTAAGACTATGATTAAAACCCACATCTGTTTGACTATATGACTGCCCCATACTTATTCTTCAATAGTGTCTTAGAATGAGTACACCATTTCAGAGCACAGTGAATTCATGTCATCATCTCTCACAGTCCTTGCTAAGAAGCAAAGTGCAATAAGAATGTGGAAAAAACACTGTGTTTACATTTTCTTTCTGTATATGTGACTTATAATGTTCTTCATGTTGTTGGAGATACAATGGTCCCAATAATGAGACAAATAATATGGCCATGTTATCTATATGTCCCTATATTACCCAGATGAAAACAATGACTGTGGTTCTTTAATAAGGCAAACATAAAAAGGCTTCTTTTTCCATGCTAAAAAGACTCAATACAAATGTCCATGAATATATTTGCCCATAAGTACTCACAACAGCACTAAATAGTGTCCCAAAGGCAGAAATGACTGAAATATCATCAATACATGAACAGATAACTATAATTTGCTTTATCCAAACAATGGAATATTATTTTGCCACAAAACTAAAAGAAGTGTTATTATATGATACAACCTGAATAACTTAGAAAAATCATATGGTAAGTGAATCCAGACATTAAAAAGTCCAAATAGATTAGTGAGTTATCCTTAGGAATTAATGGAAAGGTGGATTGGGTATACTTCATGAGTATAGGGTTTCCATTTGGGATAATGAAAATATTTTGGAATTGTGGATGGATGTACAAGTTTGTCAATACACTGAATTTATAAACTACGAGTTTATGGATAGTTAACTTTATGTTATGAAATGTTTAATAATAAAAAGGTAAACAGTTTTAAACAATATATTCTTGGAAAAGAATGCCAAGCCTCATAAATTCACAGTTCATTAAAAGTCATACTACCAAATGACTATGGCCTTCCAAGTCTCTCAAATTTTCCGCAAAACCCTCTGAAGGGGTTCATCTGTGAACTCCTTCAACCTTGTGATAACTTCCTGTGTCCTGAACTAAACTACATATTTTGCTGGGCTATGGTTCTACCATTTCAAATCTTCTATTGAATTAAAGAACTTTAGCTATGTCTGGTCATAAGACAGCAGGCTATAGGTAATTCCAACTCATCATTCCATATCAGCACTTCATATAATATCATCAAAGCTATCTAAAAAAATCTAAGATGATACAGGCCAATAGACCTGATGTCACATCTTAACATAATACAGAAAATAATCCTATGAGTTATAAAGCAGAGTGAATTCATATATTCACACAGAAAGGAAATCAATGTGCAAAATTTATTCCCAGTTATTGCTACATTCTGCTCTAAACATTTCCGTGAAAATTTAAGGTTGCAGCTGTCAACATCAATGATGTAGAATTTTTGCTGTTTTTGTTTTATTTACAAATGTGATGCTCTTGTTATTGGCATATTATATGCATAAAGCAGAAATGATAGACATCACAAATGAAGCATGTGTTTCACATTTGTTATAAATCCACAAGTTAAGTTGGAGAGGGACTGCTTGCACTTTGTAAATGTGCAGTAAGCACCTTGGAAACAGCTGTGAGACAGTGAGGACCAGGTAGCACTCTCCTTATGTCTTTTCTTGATAGACTACTAAGCTTGAAAATATGCAAGATTTATATAGCATCAAAACTGTCTTCTGTACTCCATATTTGGTGGCATAAAAACTAGTAGAATCCTATATTTGGGAACCAGTATAGGGATCATTGATATTAATACTACTGCTGGGACTTATAATGCTATTTTACTTTTAAAACCAAGAAGTCCAATTTAATCAGAAATGACAAAAAATTACAATTGTCTTATCTGGGGAAATAGTACTGGGAATACTTGTAGTAGTGAAGAGAAGAATTTAAGGACAACTAAAACTTTTGTTGAATGCTTGTTCCTGCAACATTCACTCTCAGTTCCACTGCGCATCTTGGAGAAGAAAGTGGAGCATTCACATTTCCATCAAAATTAGTGACTGTAAATACTAAGCTTCACACTAGAGTCATCCAATGGACACGGCATGTCACCCAAATACAACAAGTAGTTCAAAAGACAGGAAGACAATACTCTCCATTGTTTATTGATGAAGGTATTTGTGTAAAGAAAATATAAAGAGATAGAAGGATGTGAAATTGATTTGGAAGAACACAGCATCTATTTGCTGTAACTTTAATGAAAGTGGTGGTTGATTTCACCCATTACCAAACCGTGAATAGGCTGGGTTTATGAAAGCCATTATATTTCTTTGTGTTCCCACACCTCAGGCCCTATGAAAGGCTCTAAGATCCTCCTACCTGGTAGAGCTCATTGGTTGTGCATTGAGTGGTCAAGGTCTTCACAGGCTCAAGGTCATCTTCATCACTGCTCAGCTTCAGGTCATCCTCAAGCATCCTGAAAGAAATCAAAGTGGTCTTTGTGTTACAAAATATCTTATCTAAATTATTCTCAGATCTATATTGCAATGAGGATAAAACTATTGCTACTATAATCTGACAGCTGCAATTATGTCAAATGTTCAGAAGAAATCAAGATCCTTTCAGCTAATTAGATATTTGAGTTATTTTAGTTATGTCATACACTGCACACATATCTCTCTACCTTACCCTAAATCAAGGGATGAGTAGATGATTTCATCATCTACAGAGATGGCAGGAATCTATATATTTTGACTCTTAAAAGTAAAATAAATGTTCTGGTAAATCACTATAGGGTGATGGGGGATTACAACTCTATAGGATGTTTCTTTGACTCTTTCAGGCAAGAAGGAGATCATGATAACAATGAGAGGCTGCTCTGGAGGCTATTGGTGTATTCTAATGTGGCTCTGTAGGAAAGAAGTCCAGTGAACTTTCACTGACTCTCTATACTGGGCAACTCAGTGACCACAAAAGATGAGTGAGAAATTGCTAGTTATTAACCTTTTGATAGATGATCCATCTATTGCCGTAAAATTTGATGCACAAGATTTAAAACCATGTTGTATAAGAAATATTTCTTTCTTAAAGAAAGGCATCTGAGAAATATGAGAGGTCTAGATTTGGGTGATGAACTGGCACTTGTAAGCCTCTTTGGTGACCACGTGGATTAATTTGATGCTATCAACCCTACAATCCAGGTTGAAGTTAGAGCAGCGTATTACTTTAAAGTTCTAGGAACACAGCCTTCAGAGAACAATTTGTGTTCACATTTTAATTGGTTAGATATGTGTTCAGACCTCGTCAGGATGCAATGGAGGAATTCTCAACCATTCTGGAACAGTTCTCAACTCCCAGGCATGATGCTTTCCTTTTATGCTTTTTTTCTCTTCCTGGGTTAACACCAAGCTCAAGTCTAAAGCCAAAACTCTATTCCTCAACTCTGGAAATCATATGCTCTGCCCTCTCGTGCCTCAGTCAGACTTTAATTACTCTAGAAAAAAATTTCTAGAAGAATAATCTTTACAAATATCCTCTCTTTCCTCAGTCACTCCCCTAATCTGTTGCTGGATCACAGCATAGTTTCCCACAGTACAGTGTTTCCCTCATTGCCATCAGTCCTTAACTCTCATGTGGATGACAGGGCACACTTGATTTATGTCTGTCTTATTATGGCTTCTTTAAAAAAAGATAGAGTACACTAACTTCATTTTATATACATGGAAGGAAAGATTCAGATAGGTGAACTGCTTTACTCAAGGTCACACAGATAGTACAACACCAATACTAAAATTGCCTGTTCTGTATTCCTGTCTGTGTTATGTATCTATAAGAAAGAACAGAGAAGGGGATATGAGGCTTCTAATTTGATTTATCATGGAATGCTATTTTAGAGGTCTTATTCAACTGTTGGAAAGGGCTTTGTGTCACAGTGGGTGGGCAATAATTCTTCAAGGGAAGCATAGCACCCCAGTTCCATACTCAGGCATACAATCCTAGGATGTAGATATTAATGTCTAAACAACAGCAAATGATACAAAGATGATTAATGGGAAGTACAATTATTTGAATTTGTTTTAGATAAACTAATTTTTCAGGATTTATAACTGTCATGCAATCAACTAATAGTTGCTTTGAAAATATTAGAGGAGAAAACTACGTATCTTGACATTTCTTTTGAAGTTGTGAGTTTATGGCTCTAACCAAGCAGTTCTTTACAATGCATTACAAGAAATTAAGACTCTATACTGTATCATTTTACAAGCTGTAGAATCATATATTTTAAAATATCTGTGCTTCTAATTGTAAAATACATTGCTCTGTATGTAAATGTGTATATGTTAATATATGTTGAAGTAGGACAATAAATGACACAAGAGACATCCATTTGTATTGATACATTTTCTGAGTCAGGTAAAGTGCTAAGTATTTGATCTGGGGCACAGAACGTAACACCTGCAAGGAGTCTGTGATAAAAATCTGTTGGTAGCAACACTTCCTAAATGAGGTTTAAAGATGTTATTAAATGTTTTTATGACTACACAAGTAGAAGTCATTGAGGCACACTTGGGACCCAAACCGTCTGCAGCCACAATTTAGGAGTACATGTTTTCCTAGAGGACACAAATTATAAAGTATGGTACATAAAATCATATCAACAACAAAAACAAAATGAACGCACAAAAGATATTAACATGAAATAACTGCTGGCTAATCACAGGCTGACATCTTGGCTGAGTCAATACAATCTCTGAGCCACAAGCACATACCTCATACTTCAGGGGGCTCAGACTTTGGTTGTGAGCAGTGGGAGCCACAACTGGAGCTAATAGTGAAACTGCTCCATGAAATCATAAAATGGATCCAGGCAATCATTGTCTGGAAAGATGCTATCTTGGTGAGAAAAAATAATAGGGATTATTAATACTATTAAGTCACTACAAAGGAATTTTTTTGTATTCCTGTGCTTCTGCCATTGTAATTTGCTGAGCATTATGTGGGAAAACAATGGTCATTCAGGAAATGTCTAACAGTATCTCAAAGTTGGATCTAGAAATGAGTTCATGGATTTTAAGGTTACTTTCCTTCAGACAGAATGAGCCCTAGGGCAGAGGCCCAAATTTGGGTTATTTTATTTCCTAGAAAACTGTCTATGATTTTACAATGGAAATGAAGTATTTTCTAATTCATAGTTATGAAAATAGGCAGCTGCTGATACCATTCTGTTCTTTGGGACTTTCTCAGAAAATTCTACCAGTTTAAAGTTATCCAATACTTTCTAGTGCCTTTTACCTGCTTGTCTTAGGTATGTGGTATATTCTTACATCCCTAAGTTGGGCTGTTCACTCAGTGCCACCTCTTACTCTGAGTGAGCCATTCCACTCAGGTTTTAGACTTTTAGCTAACATTAAGAGTCACAGTCTCTGGTCTATCTAACTATCTTGGGGTCTTCTGGTTACTTAGATTATCATTGCCATCCTCGGACTTAGATTGCTTTCCACAACTGGGCTTGAGGCTAATCGTATAGTCTAAAGAGTCAGGGGATACTTGAAGACTTAGGGCTTCTCACTGTCTTATAGAACAGTAACTTGACTCCTTATAGCTCTATTCCCCAATGGACCTTTCTTCTTAACAAGAAAGCAAGAAGGAATGGACTATAAGCAGTTTCTATTACTGAGGGAATTATATATCCTAGTTAGTGGTCTACATTCTCTGTAGCACTGACATGTTGGATGGTAGAGAAGGAGGTAACTAATTAAGAAGTAGTGAGGTTTTTCAGAATATCAAGTTTTCCATGGCAAAGGTTCTGAGGGTTTCCACCATATCCTACAAGGAACTTCATCAAATTTCTGAGACTTTAAATTATAAGTTTCTGATTCAATGATTATCTCACTGGGATGAGTCATCTCAGTTTGAGGATCATGACAAAGAGCAATTTTTTTGAAATTTGTATTATATTCTATGGGAATCTCCAAGATATAACAAATTGGGTTATAAGACCAAGTGCCTCTAACCAAACACATAGCCTATGCCTGCTACAGGTCTTGCAACTACCAACAAATGGTGCTGACTTAACTGGATTCTGGCGTGTACAAGGCTGCATATAGATTCATGTCTATTGCTGTGCACAAAATTCAACTTGAAATGGATCAAAGACCTAAACATAAATCCAGTAAAACTGAACCTCATAGAGGAAAAATGGGAAGTACCCTTGAACGAATTGGTACAGGAGACTGCTTCCTGAACATAACAGCTGTAGCACAGACACTAAGATTGACAATTAATACATGGGACCTCCTGAAACTGAGACGCTTTTTTAACGCAAAGGACACAGTCAACAAGACAAAAATACAGCCCACAGAATGGGAAAAGATATTCAATAACCCCACAGCTGACAAAGGGCTGATCTCTAGAATTTATAAAGAACTCAAGTAGCAAGTCTCCAAAACACCTAAGGATGCAATTAAAAAGTGGGGTACAGAACTAAATAGAGAATTCTCAGTAGAGGAATCTAAAATGGCTGAGAGACACTTAAGAAAGTGCTCAACATCCTTAGCCATTAGAGAAATGTAAATCAAAACAACTCAGAGATACCATCATACTCCTGTCAGAATGGCTAAAATCAAAAACGACAAGGACAGTTTATGCTGGAGAGGATGTGGAGAAAGGGGAACACTCCTCCACTGCTGGTGGGAGTGCCAATTTGTACAATCACTTCGGAAATCAGTATGGAGATTCCTCAAAAAAATGGGACTCAGTCTACCACAAGATCCAGTAATTCCACTCTTAGGCTTATACCCAAATTATGCACATTCACACAACAAGGATGTCTGTTCCACTATGTTTATATGAGCATAATTTTTAAGAGACAGAATCTGGAAGCAACCTAGATGCCCCTCAACTGAAGAGTGGATAGACAATGTGGTACATTTGCACAATGGAGTACTACTCAGCGAAAAAAAAAACAATGAATCTGGAAATTTGCAAGCGCATAGCACTAGAAGAAACCATCCTGAATGAGTTTACCCAGTCCAAAAAGAAAAATAAGGTATGTACTCACTCATATGTGGATTTTAGACATGGATCAGGGGAGTGCCAGCCTACAATCCCACTGCCAGAGTCTGGGAAACAGGGAGGACCCTAAGAGGGATATGCATGGTACCCCAGAAAAGGGGAATCGGATGGTTCTGCTGAGTGGGTTGGGAGTGTAGTGGAGGGGAGAGGAAGCTGGGACAAAGACAGGGGAGAAGAGGAGGGAAGAGAAGGACATGTGAGAGCAGGAAGGTTGAGTCAGGGGAAGAATATAGGAGAGCAGGATGAAAGATACCACAATAGAGGTAGGCATTATAGGCTTTAGGAGAGATCTGGCACTAGTGAAATTCCCAGAGATCTACAAGGAAGACACCAATTAGCAAAGTAAGTAATAGTGGAGAGGCTACCTTAAATGCCCTTCCCTGATAATGAGATTGATGACTA